GGTGCCACGCAGTGGCAGAGGGGCTCCTGTCCTGGTCCTGGGGGACTGACCTGCTGATCGGTTCGTTCTCTCCCTGCCAGAGATGTGGCCATGCTGGAGGTTCCCTCCCTTCCTGAGCCTGGATGGTGAGTCCCGGCCCCAGGGCCCTGCCTAGACCCAGCCGGCCCTCGAGGGATCCTTCCCCCTCCGCCCGGGTCTCCCTGGCTCTGTCTCTCAGAGAGTCAGAAGGGTGGGGCTGGAAGGGACCTCGCGAGGGCACCATGTCCAGCCCCCCGCGCTGAGGCAGGGCCGGGTGAACCTGGACCAGCCCTGACAGGGGTTTGTCCCACGTGGGATTCCACAGCCTCCCTCGGGAGCGGGTCCCCACCTTCACTCCCCAGCCGCTGGACAGGTCTTCCTAGGCGCTAACCTCAGTCTCCCTCCCATTGCTTCTCGTCCTACCTGCCGGGGCCGTGGAGAACAAGTGATTCCCCCCCCCGCCCCCCGTAGAACAGCCCTGAGCAGCTCTGCAGAGTGTTCTCAGGTCCCCCCTCAGCCCTTCTCGCAACACGAAACAGGCCCCGGCGCTGTGACCCTTCCACACAGGTCAGCTTCTCTGAACCCCTGTGTGACGGGTCGGGCCCCTTGGGACGCCCCCTGATGTGCTGAGCTCCCCCGAGTCTGCCTGTCCTGCCAGCCTGGGCCCCCTTCACCTGGCTTGCTGAGTCAGGCTAGTACAGGCGAGTCTCATCTTATGCGCATTTAACATGCGCGAATTCAGCTTTGTGCGCTCGGCAAAAACAACAACAACAAAAGAGAAAAATAACAATTTAAATACTGTACCTGTAGCGCGGGCGATTCCGCCCGCCATTACACTCAATGGAATTTTGACTCGACGCGATTTTCACTTTACGCGCTGACAGCGGAACGTAACCCCCGCGTAAGATGAGACTCGTCTGTAAAACCTCCTCGGCACACAGGCAGGGCCACCCCCAGCTGCAGGTCAGCTCTGGGCAGACTCCGCTTCAGGGCCTTGCTCCAGCGCTCGGGTGCTCACTCCCCAAATGCGGCCCCTCCCTCAGTGTGGAGAGAGGTGTGCACACTTCCTCCCCACCCCACCCCCTGTTAGAAATTACAGAAACAAATTGTATTAACTCTACCGGTCAGAGTTGAAGTGGTAAAAGGGGTAACACACAGAACAAAGCAGATTACCAAGGCAATGAAAACAAAGCCGCAGACTAAGCTGGTTTCACTAAAGACATTTCTCCCCCTAGATGTCGTTGCAGGCAGGTTGCAAAGTTACTGTGGTTCCGAGTTCCAGTTATTCCTTTTCAGACTGGGCCCGTCTCAGTCTGGACTCCCCCCTGCCTTCCCTTCAGCAGTCTGTCTTCTTGGGCAGACAGGCCATGGCAAGGAGGAGTCCTGTTTGCCTTAAATAGGATTGACATAAGGCGGGAATCCTTTCTTTCCCAAACTTGACCCCCCCCCCCCCCCGGGTAGTGGCGGAGGGGGTCACAACCATGGCGGAGTGGAGGTCACAGCTGTGGGGGGAGGTAGTGGCTGGGGGGGGGAGGCTGGGACTGGGGGGGGCAGGCCGGTGCTGGGGGCCCGGCTGGGCCTGGCGTGGAACACGTTGTGCGTCGGGCTCATCGGGGCAGCTGGGGGCCGGTTCTGGTTCTCATCGGGCCCTTTGCCCGGAGGCAGCAGGTGGGGTCTCTCCCCAGGCCCTGGGGCAGGGGGTGTGTGAGCGGGACCCGCCGGGTCAGGCTGGGGTGGGGTCATGGCGGGACGGGTGCCGTCCGTGTGTCCGGCCTCTCACCATGGGTCGCTCCCCCACAGTGCCCCGTGCCCCGAGACCGCCCCGGCCCCACTGCGGCTCCAGGACCTGGCGGCCGTGCGCTACGAGGACGGGCAGCACCAGGGCCTCCCCGTGGTCCTGGGCACCGGCGGCTTTGGCAGAGTTGAGCTGGTGAGACCAAGCAGCCCCTCCGGCCAAGCGCCAGTCCTGGGGGGCAGAGCTGCGGGGGTGCCGAGCCCTCACCCCCCAGCCTGCCCTGCCCAGCCTGGGGGTGAGACCCCGGGCCCTGCGAGGCCCATGACGCCCTGCTTCCCCCAGGTGCGCGGACGGGGGCTGCTCTTCGCCCTCAAGCGGATCCGCAAGGAGCACGTGGTGCGGAGGCGGCAGCAGGAGCACGTGCGCACCGAGAAGCGGGTGCTGGAGCGGAGCCGCTGCCCCTTCATCGTGGGGTAGGCGCTGCCCCGGGGCCCTGGGCTGGGGGCAGAGCATGGGGCAGCGAGTGCAGTGGTGCCCCCGGGGGGAGGGGCACTGGTGGGGTTGCTTGGGGGGGGCTGTCCCCAGGAGTGGGGGGCACTGGTGGGGGTGCTGGGGGGCTGCCCCCGGGAGTGGGGGGCACTGGTGGGGGGGCTGGGGGGCTGCCCCCGGGGGGGGGGGGGGCGGGGGGGGGGGCGGGGGGCATTGGCAGGATGCTGTGGCGGGGAGGGGGTCGGAGGCTCCAGTTTAACCCCTTCTCGCCCTCTCCCCTAGGCTCTTTGGCACCTTCAGGGACAGCCAGTACGTCTACATGCTGCTGGAGTTCTGCCAGGGGGGCGAGCTGTGGACGAAGCTGCGTGAGGTGTACGGAGCCGGGGCACGCGGAGCGGGGGGGACGGCGTGTGGGGGGTGTGTGCTGGTGGCAGCGCGGGGGAGGCTGTGGCAGACGGGGGCTGGTGCGGGTGTAGGGTGGGCGGGCAGCGGGTTGGCAGGTGGCGCAGGCGGGACCATAGCAGGGTTGTTGGGGGCGGGTGGGGGTGCTGTAGATGGGCAGTGTGGGCGGGGCTGTGGTGGGATTGCTGGGGGTGGGCGGGGGGGGTGGGGGGGCGGGGGGGAGGGGGGCGGTGTTGACTGGTGGCACAGGCAGGGTTGTTGTGTGGCGGGCTGGCATGTGGCGCGGGCGGGGCCATAGCGGGGTTGTTGGGGGCGGGTGGGGGTGCGGTAGATGGGCAGTGTGGGCGGGGCCGTGGTGGGATTGCTGGGGGCGGGCAGGGCAGTGGTGGGATTGCTGGAGGATGAGGGGCGGTGTTGACTGGCGGCACAGGCAGGGTTGTTGTGTGGCGGGCTGGCAGGTGGCGCTGGCGGGGCTGGTGGGATTGCTGGGGGTGGGCGGGGCCGTGCTGGGATTGCTGGGGGCGGGCAGGGCTGGTGGGATTGCTGGGGGCGGTTGGGACCGTAGTGGGGTTGTTGGAGGGCGGGGGGCGGTGTTGACTGGCGGCACAGGCAGGGTTGCTGTGTGCCGGGCTGGCAGGTGGCGCGGGCGGGGCAGTAGTGGGGCGGCTGGAGGATAGGAAGGGGTCAGGCCGGGGGCTGTGCCTGCGGGGGCCGTGCCGGCCGCGGGCACAGGGCGGACGTGTGGGCACTGAGCCGTCATGCCCCCCAGGCGCTGCTTCGAGGAGGAGGTGGCCGTGTTCTGCTCAGCGTGTGTGGTGGAGGCACTCGACTACCTGCACGGCAACGGGATCATCTACCGGGACCTCAAGCCCGAGAACCTGATGCTGGACAAGCAGGGCTACATCAAACTGGTACCTGGGGGCAGGGCCGGCAGGCCCCGGAGCAGCCAGTGGGGCACTAGCGGGGAAGCTGCCCGGGTCGGCCCCACTCTTCCTGGCACTGGGGAGAAGCCTGGGGCACGGCCCCTCCCAGAGGCTCTTGGTGGAAGGCAGCTGGCCTGGTGGGGTGAAGGGCAGGACGGGGAGTGCAGGGAGGCCCCGTTCCCAGCCGGGTGGGTGCCAGGGAGGGCTGGATGCTGCCAAAGCAGAGGTAGGGCTCCTGGGCCGGTCACGCCCTCCCTGTCCCCGGGGCCCACGCTGTGCCCTCCTGCCGGGGGGGAGGGGGGGAGCTGGGTGGCACTGTGCCAGTCCATGGGACCTCGGCTCCCTGCGCGGTGGCCGGAGCAGCAAACAGGTGCCAGGCCACGCATGGACCGCGAGCAACAGGAACAGTCCCCAAGCGCTGCCCAGCCCCGTGGGCCCCTCGCCAGGCTCTGGCCGGGCACCTGGTGCCAGGGCAGCGAGCAGGACGGGGTGTCTAGGCTGGGCAGGAGGGAGATAAGAGGCAGGCGAGGGGAACAGGTCTGCACCTGTTGAGCATGAGGAAGAGACGGGGCAATCGGGGACTAATGCTATTCCCCCCCCTCCCCCAAGAGCAGAGCCAGGGATGGCTGGTGAATTGGAAAGGTGCCAGATGGAGCTGTGGTCAAAGGAAGTGCCTTTCACGCATGGCACTAACCTGTGGAACTCCCTGCCACATGACAGCATGGAGGCCTAAGAGGAGCAGGATTCAGGGAAGCGAAAGACCTTCTGTCAGGGATCCACAGGGCTGGGCTACGGCCCCAGCCTGGGAACAGTCTCTGGGAGGGGCCCTTCAGTGGGCCAGCCCCCCCGGGTCTCACTCTTCCCCCAGGGTGAGCCACGCAGCCTCTGGGCCTCTGGCCCCCAGCTTCCTGCAGAGACCCCCTGGGCCCCCCTCCCACCTCCCAGGCCTTGCTCTCTCTGGGGGTCCCTTCCCATCCCCCCGGGGGGGGAAATCCCCAAGTCAGAGAGCTGGCATGGCCTGTCTCTGCCCCCTTGCTGAGCTGGGTCCGTTTCGAGCAGCCCCTTAACGCCTCCTCGCCCCACTCAGCCGGGGCAGCGACCCCCAGCCCAGGTCTCTAGGCCTGGCCGGCCTGGCGGGGGTGGGGCTCTGCTGGCTCATGGCCCGCCCGTTGGCAGGTGGATTTCGGCTTTGCCAAGGAGCTGGTGCGAGGGGAGAAGACCTACTCGTTCTGTGGCACGCCCGAGTACCTGGCACCTGAGATCCTGCGGCACGAGGGCCATGACTTCGCCGTCGACTTCTGGATGATGGGCATCCTCATCTTCGAGATGCTGGTGGGCCGGTGAGGGACCCCGCAAGCCGCCCCGCCCCCGCCTGGGATCCCCGCGGTGCCCCCGGGGGGTCAACCCCTGCCCCCATCTGTGCCTGGGACCCCTGTAGGGGTCAGCCCCTGCCCCTACCTGTGCCTGGGATGCCCGCGGTACCCCCCAGGGGTCAGCCCCTCCCCCACCTGTGCCTGGGACCCCCGCAACCCCCCTGGGGGGTCAGCCCCTCCCCCACCTGTGCCTGAGACCCCCGCAGTACCCCCCGGGATCAGCCCCTCCCCCACCTTTGCCTGGGACGGCCTGTGGTACCCCCCGGGGGTCAGCCCCTCCCCCACCTGTGCCTGGGACCCCTGCAGCCCCCTTGGGGGTCAGCCCCTGCCCCCACCTGTGCCTGGGACCCCTGTGGTACCCCCCGGGATCAGCCCCTCCCCCACCTGTGCCTGCGACACCTGCAGCGCCCCCTGGGGTTCAGACATGGAGCCTGGAACCCCCAAAGTGCCCCCTGGGGGTCACCTTCTGCCCCCCTGTGTCACAGAGTGTGGGGGGACACAAGGCCCTGCACCCCCGGCTTCCTGCGATTCACCATGACTCTCAGCCAGCCAGTAAAGCAGAAGGTTTATTTAGATGACAGGAACACAGTCCAAGACAGGTCTTGCTGGCACAGACAACAGGACCCCCCCAGTTAGGTCCATCTTGGGGTCCCAGGGGCACCACAGCCCCATTGGGGGGTCAGAGCCCCGTCTGGGCTCCCCTCCATTACACCAGCCAGCTTCTGAAACTCTCACTCTCCCCAGCGTCTCCTCCCCCAGCCTTTGTTCAGTTTCCCTGGCAAAGGTGTCACCTGGCCCCAGCCCCCTCCTGGGTTCTCACCTTACATGCTCAGGTATCTTCCCTCAAGGCCAGTCTCCCATCCCCCAATGCAGACCGTCCCAGCCAAACTCCCCACTCAGCATTCAAAGACCACATTAAGAACGGTCCCAGTTCGTCACACCCTGTAACAATGCTGCCTTTGGAAGGACACAACTGAAAATATCAATTCAGGACAAATTGCTTAGAGCAGGGCAGTGTGACGTTCGGAGTGTGATATAATATCTCATTGAAAGGTGACAGGGCCAGAAAGAGTTAATTACCTCACCGACTGACCTGACCCAGGGCCGAACTTTAGAGACTGGTTAGGAAGATCTGTAAATGACTAGAGCTTTGAAATGCAAGTCTGCATTGTTAGAGATCTCAAAGGTAGATGTTTGCTCAGGTCTTGTGATGTAAGCAAACAAGTCTTGTCTATTGCTATAGCTTTAATTCAAAGATCAAAAAGGAGTATTCGTATTTAGGAAGACACTTGAGTGAAATAGTATTATTGTCTCTATGTCTCTTTGAAGGTAAAAGAAAAAGGGGATCAGTAAAAGAAAAAGGTTCTCCTGATCCCAAAGGACCAAGCCCCAGACCCAGGTCAAATGATAAGTTAGATCTTACCCAAATACACGCTAATAGCCAATTCTTATTAACTAAACTAAAATTTATTAAAAAAGAAAAGAGAGAGGGAGTTGGTTAAAAGATCAATCTACAGACAGACTTGAATTCAATTCTTGAGGTCCAGACACATAGCAGAGATGGTGAGTTTGTAGTTGCCAAAAGTCCTTTTAGAAATAGTCCATAGGTTATAGTCCAATGTCCATATTCAGGGTGACTCCAGACAGTGACTGGGGATCTCAATCCTTGTGGCTTAAGGTTTCCCCCTCTTGAAACCCAAAGCAGATCTGAGATGAAGCAGGATCGTGTCCCAGGGTTTTTATACATTTCCAGCAGCCTTTCGGCCTGAGAAAACAATAGGCTTAACTCTCCTTCTCCCAAACATCCTGGCAATTAGCACAGGGTAATTTATAGATTCATAGATTCATAGATTCTAGGACTGGAAGGGACCTCGAGAGGTCATCGAGTCCAGTCCCCTGCCCGCATGGCAGGACCAAATACTGTCTAGACCATCCCTGATAGACATTTATCTAACCTACTCTTAAATATCTCCAGAGATGGAGATTTCACAACCTCCCTAGGCAATTTATTCCAGTGTTTAACCACCCTGTCAGTTAGGAACTTTTTCCTAATGTCCAACCTAGACCTCCCTTGCTGCAGTTTAAGCCCATTGCTTCTTGTTCTATCCTCAGAGGCTAAGGTGAACAAGTTTTCTCCCTCCTCCTTATGACACCCTTTTAGATACCTGAAAACTGCTATCATGTCCCCTCTCAGTCTTCTCTTTTCCAAACTAAACAAACCCAATTCTTTCAGCCTTCCTTCATAGGTCATGTTCTCAAGACCTTGGCCTGGTCTACACTAGGACTTTAATTCGGATTTAGCTGCCTTAATCCGAATTAACCCTTCACCCGTCCACACTACAGAGCCAGTTAATTCGAATTAAAGGGCCCTTTAAATCGATTTCTGTACTCCACCTCGACGAACGGAGTAGAGCCTAAATCGATTTTGTTAATTCGAATTAGGGTTAGTGTGGACGCACACCACCGAATTACTGTATTTAAGTTAATGGGGTAGTGTGGCCGCACACCACCGAATTAATGTGGTTTAAAACCGAATTAAGGTGCTTAGTGTGGCCGCGCACAATCGAATTTATACAACCTGTTTCCCAAATTCGAATTATCTAAATTCGGATTAATCCTGTAGTGTAGACATACCCTAACACGGCTGCTACTCTGAAACCTGTGAAATCTGTACAGCATAGGGTAAAAGCAGATAAAAAAACCAATGTCACGGCCCAGGACGTGTTTTTCATGGCTGTGAATTTGGTAGGGCCCTACCCATGGGCCTGCCCGTTTCCCTGTGTTTGAACTCCCTGCCGTTATTCCCAACAGTACCGTCCAGTCTGTCTCCTCTTTCCAGGGGGTTGCATCCCACTCGGCCCCATGGGATTACCATCCACACTGAGGGCATCCCAAGCCCAGACTGGGGAGAGGGGGTGGAGCTACAATTATGGGCGGAGCTATGGGTTAAAGCAATTCATCATGACAGGCGGCATGGCATGGTGGCCCGTCACTGCAGCTGGGGGTGCACTGCAGGTCCCTACAGCCCAGCAGAGATGGCCCAAGCCCTCCAGGGCAGCTGCTAATGGGCCTCTAGAGAAAGAGCCTGCAGTGACACTGGCTGGAAGGAGAAGCAAAGGGCTCCCCCATGCTCATGCTCCAGGCCAGAGCAGAGCAGCTGCAGGGAATCAGGAAGGCCATTTCTGTCCATGAGACCGTGTGGCAGTTAGCTGCTGGGGGGGGGAACAGGGTGCTATCACATAAGAATGGCCACGCTGGGTCAGATCAAAGGTCCATCTAGCCCAGTATCCGGTCTGCCAACAGTGGCCAGTGCCAGGTGCCCCAGAGGGAATGAACAAAACAGGGAATCATCAAGTGATGCATCCTGTCGCCCATTCCCAGTTTCTGGCAAACAGAGGCTAGGGACACCATCCCTACCCAGCCTGGCTAATAGCCACTGATGGACCTGTCCTCCACAAATGTATCTAGTTCTTTTTTGAACCCCATTATAATCTTGGCCTTCACAACATCCCCTGGCAAGGAGTTCCACAGGTTGACTGTGCGTTGTGTGAAGAAATACTTCCTTTTGTTTGTTTTAAACCTGCTGCCTGTCAATTTCATTGGGTGACTCCTAGTTTGTGTGTTATGTGACGGGTAAATAACACTTCGCTATTCACTTTCTCCACCCCAGTCGTGGTTTTATAGACCTCTATCATATCCCCCCTTAGTCGTCTCTTTCCAAGCTGAACACTCTAATGTTTGGCGTCTCGCCTTGTACGGAAGCTGTTTCATACCCCTGATCATCTTTGCTGCCCTTCTCTGAACCTTTTCCAGTTCCACTCTATTGTTTTTGAGATGGGGTGACCAGGTCTGTGTGCAGTATTTAAGGGGTGGGTGTCCCATGGATTTATATAGTGGCATTAGGATATTGTCTGTCTTCTTTTAGCTATCCCTTTCCTAATAGCTCCTAAAGTATTCGTAGCCTTTTTGACCGCTGCTGCGCATCGAGCTGAAATGTTCAGAGAACTCTCCACGGTGACCCCCAGATCTCTTTCCTGGGCGGTACCAGCTAATTTCGACCCCAGCACTGTATGTGTATGGTTGGGATTATGTTTCCAATGTGCATTTCTTTGCCATTTGGTTGCCCAGCCACGCAGTTTTGTGACTCTAACTCCTTGCAGTCAGCTGTGGACTTAACTATCTTAAACCATTTTGTATCATCTGCAAACTTTGCCAGCTCACTGTTCACCCCCTACTCCAGCTCATTGAGGACTATGTTGAACACCCTGGTCCCGGTACAGGCCCCTGGGACCTGCTATTTACCTCTCTCCAGTTACTGATCCAGGAGAGGACCTTCCCTCTTACCCCATGGCTCCTTAGTTACCTTAAGAGCCTTTGATGAGGGACCTTGTCAAAGGCTTTCTGAAAGTCCAAGTAATTCCTAAAACTATTAGAGGAAATTCTTACTTCATCCCCATGCTATTCCCTGATGCCCCCGTGCCAATCTGCACAGTCCCCCGCGGGCTCTGCCGAGCAGCTGTGATGTGCTGTCACAACGCCCCTTTGGCTTCTTGAGACAGAGCTGCTGGCCCGTGTAGCCAGGAAGAGGCAGTGTGGCTTAGGGGTTGGAGCATGGGGAACTGGGAGTCAGGACCCTAGGGCGTTCTCACTGTGTCCCCCCAACTCCCCCCCCAAAAACCCCCTCCGCCCCCCCGGTTCCCCCCGCGCCCCCGCCCCCCCCCCCCCCCCGGGGCTGTGAGACTTGGCGGTGGCAGATGAGCCATCCCCCAGCGAGGAGCTCCCCTCCCTGCCGTGGCACATGAGTCAGAGCCTGGCTCTTCCCTCTGCCAGCATGTGGGAGGGAGGAGAGGCAGCAGACCGGGCTTGGCTGGGGAGATGCACCTGAGGGAGGGCTCGGCTTGGACCGCCCATGGTTAATGTGTCATCGCCAGGCTGCTGCCTCCAAGGGGCCCTGCGGCTAGGCCGGGGGGT